AACCTAAATGAACCTAAAAAAGAGTATGTTAATAAATTGTGTAACAATAGTAGGATAATACAGTATATGAAAATTCGCTCTGATCATTCGTCTGTGCAAATTGTCAGTTATGTGACTTTGACTTAATTTCATTGTTTAAATTAATAAAGGTAATGTTAATTAATAATTTTGGTGTATGTTTCTCTGGTCTAATTCAGATTTTAGTATAGGTAACCATGTATGACTTAAATTAAATGAACATGCAGCAACACAATTATTTTGATTTAGTAAAATTAGCGCGCTTTCTTTAATTTTACGTTTTTTTGTAGATTGTTCTTTTGTTAAAATTGTGGAATTATTCCATTTAATTTTATGGCAATTATCAAATGCATGTTGACAAATGTGTGATTTATGATATGCTCTATTTTTTATGTATGATTGGTGTTCTTTGAGTCTTATGTAATGGTCTTGAGGATTCTCCTATATACAATTTATTGCATTCGCAAGGAATTTTATAAATTACATTTTTCGTATTTTCAATTATGTCATAAAGTTTTGTTACTGAAATTATATTACTATATATATATATATGCAGGATACCCTCTAGGTGATAGTTCTTGATTACTTTTTGATAAATAATTCGCTCTTATTGCTGAATAGGAGCACTATTTATCAATCTGTAATAGAAGACGTAAGGAAATTCTGTCTTTTTGAAAGACAAAAATTTTTGAGGCGAAATACCCAACAAGAAGTTTGTAAAAAAATGAATCCGCCTTAACAATATAGAACTTATCTACATTAAGGTTTTGACCAAAACCGATCACAAAACTAAAAGTTTTTAATCGAAAACGCCAAAAAAACATTATTTTCTGATGATTTTCTTATTTTCTGACAATAATGGGTCTTTTCCTTCAAAAATGACAAAATTAATTTTGCTAGAAAATTCGCCTCGTTCATCGGTTTGCAGAGAACTTTAGAAAACCCATTTCAGCTTGGAATTTGGCAGAATAACAAATAATTTTATTCAGTTTTTACGGCAAATAATTAGAATTAACTTCAAAAAACGACCGGAGCTAAAGTTTACAAAAAATTGTCGCCTTTATAGCTCGGAAAATTTCTAAAGTTTCTTTACATTTTTAGGTCATTTATTGAGTTTGTGTGTTTCAGGTTGTAACAAAATTTCTATTAAGCAATTCTTTCTACGCAAAAATTGCAATATTTTTTAGTTTTTGCTAAAATACTGACAATTTTCAGGTATTTTCTGTGAAAAATTATAAGATAAATTTCACATTCCCCTCCTTAACTGCATTGCAAACATTTTTGGAAAACTTTTTGCAGCTTCTAATTATGTACAAAACCCTAATAATTGAAAAACTTAAACTGAAAATGAGAAGGTTTATAGTCATTCATGTGTTCATAATATTTCTAAACAACACTGTTTCTCAACAGAAAAACCGCGTTTTCCTTAACGTTTTACTGCAAAATACTGGCAAACTGAATCTTTTATGGAAAAAAATTAATAGATCGATTTTCCAAGAAAACTCGTCGGCTTTCTTTGGACTCAATTATGTTGCAGGGAATATCTAGATGACTCGTTGTCAGTTGTTTGAACAAGGTAGTAAAACGTCAAAAAAAATTTTTATGGCCTTTTTTAGATGTAAAAATTCCAGTCTCGGGTCTCGTAAGCTTTAATAAATTACTTATAACTCATGAGTTATAAATAAGAAACTTATAACCGATGGGTTGTAACTCGTTAACTCAGAGAGCGGCAACAACTCAATAGCGCATTTCAACACAGTGTTACCCAGGCCTATAAGAGATCTCAATAATTTCTGCCAGCATGTCCCTGAAATCGGCGTACCTAAAAATATTGCTGAATCTCATTGTTTTCCGGACTCAATCCTACGCGTGCCGCAAGTTAATGCTTTCTGACTTTTTTAATGAAAATGGAAGTTAATTGTACAGGGTGTGCGAAATTGGACACGTTTATATGGAAACTCCCATTTCTATCTATACCAGATAGACAAAAGGTGATGTCGGTGTCTATGCCTCCATTTTTATGACAAAATTTATGACGAAGACCATTTTGTCCAACAGTTTTGGAGATACAGCGTTTTTTCGCTCTCTAAGAATTTTCCTGTGATTTTTTAAAACTTTCTACAGGAACAATTTCAAATCACTTTTTCACGTAGTATCCAATAATGTAAGTTTAATTTGCGGTAAGCAAATACTTTCTGTTCTATTTCTGGAATATGCACTTAGAAAGGCCCTTCTGACGTTGCACTCAAACATTTTAAAGTAAGCAGTTTAAATGGGGTTCAAAGTAGTAGTAGCTGGTGTAGTACACCTTTGGGCTATGGGTAAATTCGCTCAAGTTTAAATGTATCATAATAAATGAGTCAATAATTATCACATACAAACAGGTATTCAGCTGTTTAATCTTATATTTAAATGCGCAACCGATGTCAATCAAAGCACGAAATGTGTTGAGGTAAAACCAATTTATCAGCCCACACGGTGATGGCGGCTGCACAATAATGGTAGGTCTAAGTATATCAAGATCATTTAATCAAGGTCGTGCAGTTACGGGCTTTAAAAATCAACAGCGAAGACAGTAGTATCTTGTGATATACTAACTTCTTCAATTCGCTTCATGCCTTCATTCATTAGTCACATGCACCCTCTGAATTTAATTCTGATAGTGGTAGAACTTTGTGCAATATGGAAAGAACTTGAAATAGTACCTACAAAGCTTTGTCATAGTCAGTCATAGTCAATCGCACGGCTCAGTCGAAGTAGTCATTCAATGCATAACGAATACGTTAACCAGGTGGATGTGAGATACTCATTAACTTGCATCTGATCAACAGCTGGTTGAATAGCATATTTTACATGACAGTGATGCAGAGGACAAAACAATCTGCTACTTGAAAGGCTGCGGAGGTCAGGTACAAAGCTTCCTCTGACCTAAATTGGCGGAAATAATTAATGTTGCACCTTTAATAATCTCGATATCGCCAGGATTTCCTTTTTTCGTTTGGGACATTTCTTCATACTGGCCAGAATTTTCACTTTTTCCACAAAAAGTTTGCCTTGGCCAGCAATAACCAGGATTTCAAGGAGTACCCGTTCAACCTCAAAGCCCAGTCTTGAACTCACTTTGCTGGGAGCCTGAGGCCTTTGAGGGCCTGTTCAACGCATAGGTTAACTAAGGCTCAAAGAGCTCCAACTATCGCTATAAAGCAACACGCTGTCTTTGGCTTACTCTATTGTCTAAAACATTAGGAAACATTTTTTAAAAGTTTTTCTAGGAAACATGTACTGTAATTCGACTCTGACTTTATTGTAAAAGGCCAGGGCGTTTTCGTCAGTCGCCTCTTCTAAAGGACAAAGACTTGTTTAGTGAAGTGTCAATTTTCTCTTGTCGGACCAGTCTGTCGTTATACCGCTTGTCGTCTGCGTCCTTTGATACTTCTTCTATAAAAGCCTAACTAAAAGTTCCTGATGTCGGGGTGGTATAGACCCCCTAATATAGTAGCGGTTCTTCTTGGAATAGAAAATTCGGCCTTTTATCAAAAAGCTATACACGTTGCCAGTGGGAAGAGGGTAAGGGATAATGGCAGCTGCAAAGGCAATGAGTTTTTGTGCCATTAGAAATCTTATGGTAGTTTAAGTTGCTGCAATAAATGGAATTCTCGTTTTGTTTAAAACAGTTGTTTATTCCTAGATTTTTCTTTCTTGTTTTTACTTCAAGAATATACTTATGAATATCCAAAAACGTTTTTCTGTACTTGTATATTAAAGTATATGTATACAGGGGTAGTCGTCAACTAAAGCAACAAAATTCACTGACATATTCTAGACAAACTATTGGGTTTTAGGCAAACTTCTCTTATCTGAAAGTTAATAATTTTCGACATGCAGGGTGTCAAAGTGTAAATAATATTTTCCTTTATTTTTAATAGATTCTTAACCAGGTTTGCTATAACCATAAAAAAATATTTTTGGGAGTGTTTTAGAATGAGAAGTTTAAATTTTCCCTTACCTGGCTTGTAAATCCTAGAGCCCTCTAGCTGTAGATGTAACGTCATTTTCTGACGCCAACGTGTCGTCATTTTCTGACGTCAATGTGACGCATATCTGACGTGTTTTTGACTCAATTTCTGAAGCACGGAAACTGAGCTCCGCTAGTTTTTACAGAGTGGTTGCGTAATCTGTCGCACTTACGTTTTAATGTGGCAATAAATGTGGTTTTGTGTGAATTAATTGAATGAATTGAATTAGGCTTTCCATTATTTCTTCTTTTCATATACAGGGTGATTCAAAATTGGCGTCATTCCTCTGGGGGTGCAGTCTGGCGGAGTTTTAGGATTGCAGAAAAAACTGAGAAATTTCCAAAAAACTATATTACAAAGATGGCAACAATGTTTTTCAAAGTAATCTGCCTAATTAACATGAAGTAAAAACCTGTTGCTTCGGACGAGGCTTGAAACAAGGCGGCTAAAAATATTATTTTAAATTGTTCCCCTGACAAATAAAATTTGCAGGTCTTCGATTTTTCATATTTTTAACTGCAAGAAAGATGTTAAGGATGGGAAATTTTCAAATTTACACCCTGTATATCTTAATGCTGTGATAGTGCGATACCACAGCATAAAGATTATAATCTTTACGTTGTGGCGATACCGGGAACCACTCGTAACAGGGTGCATGGCTTTCAGGCTTCGTGTGCGGTCAAAGGGACAGTTTTTGCCTGGTTTGATTTTTCAGTTGAGGAGATGGAATTCGCCTAAAAAGTAACACTAATATTAATCTTTATTTTGTGAATTATTTGTCACCCAACGTTTACAATCTTATTTCACTCGAAATAAGAAATGTTAAAAACAGAAAGAATTTTGGCAAATATTGTAGAAGATAGACAGATTAAAGTTTATTTAAAACGATAGACATATTTGAGGAACAATTTAACGAACAAAAAAACTTAGAGGTTCTTTAGAACAATGTATACGATATACTTCGAAACGAAACAAATTCGGACGTTAAGTCATCCAGATGCTAAATATTTCGAATAAATTGATTACTTTAGTTAGTATATTGAATGAAATTAGTTGGTTCAACAAAATGTAACTTATATATATGTATGATAATTTGCAAAAAATTAATATGTAATAATTTGAGCAGTATTTCTGACATTAACTGAGCAATTTGGTGAATGTTGAGATCCATCGGTGTATCTCAACATTCACCGAAATTCGAACTTTTGCTGTAATAGGTGCAGAGTGTTTCCTCATAAGTTGACACCCCCTGGATCGTTTATTTAAAAAAATTGTTAGTGACTAACACAAAAGTTGTTTAATTTTGTTCAGATTTTTTAAATCTGAATTTCAAATAAAAATATAAAACACGGAAATGTAAACATTTGAGATCAAGTATTTTTTTAATGACACTTGATATTTTTAGACATACCAATAGGATTTTTTTCCTGATTTCAAACATATGTATTTTGCCTATATTTGCATTAGCCGTTTTTCCTGTATTACGTTTTAAAAAATATAAATAGCAACAAATCAAAATAGCCTTGAAATTTGACAAGGCTATTTTCTTCCTCCACCCCATAACGTTCGCCCAGTAGTACTTTTTCTAAATGAAAATGGTGATATCTGAATTGGACTAGCGAGTCCTATCCAATGGCCTCCAAATAGTCCCGACCTAACGCCTCTTGATCCTTTTCTCTGGGGTTATTCATAGAATATTGTGTAGGAGACTGTAGTTAGTCGCTTTAAAATAGCATTGGATGCAATTAACGATATTAATATTACTCATAACCAATATATTCAAAACGTTATCGATTAAATATACATAGATTATAGAGCATATCTAGCGTTAAACGGAAATGGAAATGGAAAAAAATGGAAATTTTGTAAAACAAAATACAGAAAAAACGGCTAACACAAATATAGACAATACATATGTTTCTGAACTCAGGAAAAAAATCCAATAGAATTACATACACAGGGACGACATTAAAGATGCTTCAATGAGGATCATTTATCTCTTGGTAGGCTATCAAGAGATAAAGTACCTACCAATAGTAGGCACCCGTTGTTACATTGCGAGAGGCATAATTAGAGAATCTTTACATAAGGGCCAAAACCCAGGAGCTAATATAGGTAAGCAGCGGATCCCTAACTAGGACTAAACATGCAAATTGCCATGCCGAACATCTGGCCCGTTTACTGTGTGGTTTATTTTCATGTCTGCCATGTGTTAATGTGTAATGGTTAATAAATGTTTT